GATGAGTGGTGTGTGTGATGAGTGGTGTGTGATGAGTGGTGTGTGATCTCTGTGTGTGTCTCTGTGGGAGGAGCGGAGGAGCGGGAGAAGCGGGATGAGACATAGAAAAGAAGAACCCCGCTAAGATTTTGGGGAACAAAACATAATTCTTTCGAGATGACATCCTTTGCCTGAGATCTTGATGTGGCTGCTGTCACAAAACCTTTGATAACAATTGCATTCTGAAATATAGTTCACTGTGCTTTCAGATTTGGGTACATGGAGCATTCACTCATAAAATATGTGAAAGCACAATATATCTTATGGATATTAGACGCATCAAAAAATAACGAAACAGAGAAGAACGAAATGCTGGGTAGAGCTTATTTTACCATTATTTTTTTTGGATGTCTACATTCGCCTATTTGCAGGTTGACAAAGATTTGAGGGTTGCAACTCCTTTATCAGACCTTCGATCTCTAGCTAGTCTTGGTTTGCCTCAAGACTCGCATATTAACATTCCCAGCCTGTCCCCTCCTCCCTCCAAAACAAACCAAAAAGGTGCCCCAACCGCACAGGCTCTCCGCCTCTTCAGCGCCGCCTCCTCGGCGGTCTCCGCGCGGGCACCCGCGCGGGCGCCCGCGGGCTCCGCGTCGCCCGGCTCGGAGGTGGACTCCGACCTGTGGGTCGACCGAAACGAAGGACCGGTGGGTGTGGGGTTTGGACAGGATGGAGCCTCTGAAAGAACCTGTGAACCTGTTCAGTTCAGTGAAGATATGAAGTTTTGGATAGCACGGTTCGACCTCATGTACGCTAGAGTGGGATATTTCGCAAAACAGGTCGAGGCAATGAATGGCAAGACCTGTCAAAGAGTCCTCTTGCACCTCCTCTTGTGACTTCTGACCTTACTTCCACCAGATCTCCAGGAAAGGATTCAGATGAGGCCAACTCCATAAGCCCTTGTGGGTTCGAGTGAGTTCGCAGTTCGGAGCCAACTCCTTTAAACCATTTGTAGTAAATAGACCCCCAAATAGATAGAAAGTAGATCACCACAAAAAAGTGTAGAGCGTTTCTATTTAGAATGATGCTCAACAAATCGATCCCTGCGACTTGGTGACCACCTAGTTTCACCTCTCCAAACCGATCTAGAGTGGATTGAGAGATATTGAGAGTAGATGGTACCATCCCCAAGTTTGGTGGTTTTTATTGAACACCCTCCATCCCAGCAATGGCCTCCAACCTAGTAGCGACAGTAGTGATGGCCTCCAACCTTGGGGTGCCAGTGCTATCTCAGGTCTATCCCTGCTCTGGCCCAAACCCGGCCTCGCCGACTCATCCTCCGACTGTACGGACTTCTCCTGCGCCGTTGTGGCGGGTTGTGGCGGTTCTTTCGGTGTCAAATGGGATCACCATCCAAACACCCGGACATGATACATTTGGGTGGAGACCTTTGATGTCAAGGCGGCCGCCATACACCCAAAGAAATCCAAAGAGACCTGATGCCAAGCTCTGGGACTGGTCGCGCCCGGCGAACCGCGCCGCGTCGCCGACGAACCGCGGTTCGAGGTCGCGTCAGGTCGATCAACAACGAAGCCCAGCAGCGTTGTGGAGGGAGATCCATCCAAGTGGACACCAACAGGACGTTCCACCTGGACGAACAGGTCCCTGGGCCAAGTGGAAGTGTCCCTGGACCTTCCCTATCTTTTTTTCTGTCCCTGGACCTTGCAACAGGTCCTTTTTGGGTGACAACAGCGCCTTCTATGTTGGAGCGATGGAAAGCATGTGTTGGTCTACTGTTGAACCCCGAACAGCTCCCAAAAGCTGTTGGAGTGACCTCTGAGCACGCGGCTTGACACCCAACAAAAGCTATTCGGCATCCGATCCCCCAATCACTCAGCCCAGGTTCACCACCTAGCCCGTTGGCTCCTGGTCCGGTCACCCCGAGCACGACCCCCGTGACCGGCCTCGGCCTCGGCGTTCTCCTGGGGCTTGGCGCCCTGGGCTGAGGTTGGCGCATCGGCGTTGGGTTTCACAGGGCTTGTGCGAGGTCGGATATATTCGAGTACTGTAGGGGGTCTTGCAGGCATTGACTGTATACGTTCTGGATGGGGTTGGACAAATACGCAATGCCGCAATGCCATGGAATGTCTGGACTCTCAACAGGGTTTGAACAAACGTGACAATAGGTGAGGTTCATGGACTTCACAAGGGTCCAATCCTACACAACAAGAGCATGTCTCGGTGAATGGACGATGCACACAGCTTTTACTCATGAGATCTTCCGCTTGGACAACCGAACAGGAGAAACAACTATAGAACATTGATGCCTTTCCAACAAAACTGCCCTTTTGGTCCAACACCTGCACACAGCTCTTCTGCTTGGACAACCAAACAGAATAGAACATTGATATGCCTTTCGAACGAAGGTGCCCTTTGGTATCCTTTGGTCCAACGCCTGGCACGTATAAATGAGGATTTGAACACCTGCCGAAAAAAAAATGGGCCCTGCCTCTGGTGGCTGTGCAGCCTGGAGCAGTGGGGATCTCATGATCGACGCCCAAAGCGACGAATGAATTGGACTTCGAGAGGGAACCACGGCAAGGCATCTGCAGTGGGAGTGATGTGAAAGTCCTGACGATGCCGCAGTGGCTTGATTTCCATATTTCTTATTGCGTGCACCCGTTTCGAACATTCAAAGAAGCGTCTCTACGGACCACAGGTGGTGTCTATGATTCCACTCCCTGGAACTATAGCATGGACGTGGATGGCACCGCCTGGTTGGTATTCGGATTTCATGGTCTTCCAAACTCGGAGCCATGCCATCCACGTAATCCAAGGAGTGCCAACGTTGTTTCTCCAGGTGAACAGGCACAGAATCGCCACACATCACATGGCCACTGAAACACTCCGCACAACGCAGAACACACGCGTGCTGGTGCGCAGAACTCGTTCTGCGCCGCACGCGAGGCATCGCGACGCCACAACGCCTGGATGCACTGGCGATTGCCCTCCACCGCGGCGATGGCAGCGCTCATGGCGGCGTTGGAAGCACTGGCTGCGGCCAAGGAGGCGCGGACCTCAGGAGCGGGGACTGGGCAGTCGGAGGTCGTCGGTTTCGAACGTTGCTTGTTGTTGTTGTTCTTCTTCTTCTTCTTCTTCTCAAAGCAGGGAAAACTCAATGTTGAAGTTTTTTGTCCCGGCTGATCAGAGGCAACCAAGTGGGACACACACACACACATATATATATATAGCAAAGCAATCCGGACACTTTGTAGGAGTTGGATACATAGCATGGGGGATGAGTAGGGAGCTGATCTCCAAAACGTAAGGACCAAATCAACCTGCCAAAACGGGTTGGCCCACGCGAGACGATCATTCCAGAGCATTATGCTCAGTTATGCTCAGCCACTCCTTCCAAGTCTCACCTACCCTCCAATTGTCCAAGCGCCCACCTGAAAGATACCTCAGGGCAAGCGTTAGAACAAGCCATAACCCACCAAACCATACATATCATACCCCTCTCTCCTCAGCCAAAGGCTGCAAACAAAGCACTCACGACCGTGGACCCAACCGACCAAAGCCTATCGGACCACATGGCAGACCTACAGGACCTATGTGCACAAAAACCATCAAAGACATGTGTTTTGCCCCCCCAGAAAGTCTCAAACACATCAACTTTACAAACGGGCTTTTGCTTCCAGTCTCACGCCGGTCTCGTCCCGGGTCTCTTAACCTCTTTCGCCCGAGCGTCCGCCGCGCCCAGGAAGCGCTCGGCCAAGACCTCCTCAACGTCGTCGCTGTCGCGGCTCAGCTCCGCCGCAGTGACCTCGGTGACCTGCGGAGACCAGAGGCCGGCTGCGACCCGTCGTCCGGGGCTGATGTCGGCGTACCCGATTGTTAGCCATCACCGATTTCGATTGATCTCACATTAAGCCCTATGAAGCGCGCTCTCACATGATACTCCTTTAGACACCGTTCTGAGGCGGCATTTCTTGCATCATGGCCGACCGCCTGTGAACGTGCAAAGTGGAAAATTGCCAACATTGATGGCAGATCAAGGCTGGTTTGCATTGAGCGTTCCACCTGTGGGTGTGCTTGCAAATGCTTCCGGCAAGCTTGTCGGGCGATGTCGCTTGAGCTGCGTCAATTTCCGAAGACATTTGGAGTCATATTCTTTGTTGGGCTTGAAAGTCATGCGGCCACAGTTTATGAAAGGATTGCCCTGTTTTTGCCCTCCCCAGCAGAGCGAGCTTCTGCATGACGGCTAAGGTCATGCAATTGACAGGATGCCTGCAACTGACTAGCAATGCCAACAAAGAAAGCTTTCCCATCCCTCAAGAACAAGTTCTGCGTCATTCAATGAATTACGTGGCTGCGCCTTGGCCTTTCCACGTTCATAAGCTTGCTGGCGCTCACGGTGGACCTTGACATACTCCAAGTCACCCAGCTTCCGCTGCTTTCGCCGCAAGGCGCTCCGAACAATAGTTGCCAAGATCTTTTGCCGGATTGTTGAGTACAAGGCCAGTCTGGAAATCGCAGGAATTCGACCAGGCAATGGTCATTTATGTTCCTTAAAACAGCAGAAGTGGTGGAGCGCGGTCCAGCGGCACAGTGTTGTGGTTGTTGTTGTTGTTGGACCACTTGGGCATGGTTCTAGAGGAGAAGGATCAGGAGCTCCAGAAAAAGGACATTGAGCTTGAGCAGTTGCAGGGGTCCTTGGAGGTGCTGCAGGAAGAAGTCCAGCAGCAGGACCAGTGCCTAAGACTGGCTGGAAAGCAAAAAAGGTCGCAGTGATAGCATCTTGGCGTGCTGGCGACCATCAAAGGCTCCAGTTTTTAATTGCTAAACCTTTTGGCTAACATTCAGATAGGACACCTAGTCTCACATGTTAGGAGCATTTCAAGGGTGAACCGCATGCCCATCAAAGAGTGCCACATTCCAGCCTCACCAGGCAAGCGCGGATGCAACATGCCATGGGATGAGTTACGCTGCGTGCTTGGTCTTAACCTCCCTGAAAAAATCGGGTATGCCAACCCAAAACCCGTGCCACCCCTAGTCAAGAAAAGCCATGCAAATCGTCTGAACTTACCCCATCGAGGCACTCTCATTGCCAGTAGATGCCACGTCCTTCACTGTCACCAAACGTTTCCCTCCACAAAGCTCTCCCACATCACACACCTCGAATTGCACATTGACGATGCCCTCTTCCGAAGGCACATCCTGTAAGGATGAAAGGAGGTCAAATTGCGCCAAAGGGAAGCGCTCTTCGTTTGGCACCACACGAATGGAGGACCTGAGCACAAAAAGATAACTGCTAGCAGGGTTGATGTCGTGAAGCAGCACATCTCCAAGCTGTGTACACTCCGACTTTCCAACTCACCCTGCAAGCCAAGGCGCACCACTTGCTCTCTCTTGCGCTTTGCGCTCGGTACGGTAAAAACCAACTCCACAGCAGCCAACCTCCCAGCAAGATGCGCCTCAGGAAGACTGCCGTCCGGCTTTCTCCAGGCTGCGCGGGCCATTGCGTTTTCAATCGCCACAACATTGTCCAACGAAATCTCGCATGGCAGTGGCCCGCTGCTCTTCACTACTACCGCTGCGTACGGCAGCTCCTCGTCCTCCTCCTCTTCCTCTTGGCCGCCATGTGCGCCACGCACAATAAACCTAAGGTCCATGGCACAAAACGCGCTACCTCCAAGGTAAGACCCTCTGACACCGTCCCCCCATACTCACCTTCACCATCTCACAACCAAACCCCTGCGTGACAGCCAGTCGCTTCAATCTGCCGCAACTGTCGATCCACCGGCTACGGCCGCTGTCTTTGGCGAAAGCTGCCACGCGAAAGCGGGGCGGCTGAAGCTTGAATTCATAACACATGTGGTATTGCACTAATCATGTCAACTGTGGCATTTACTGGTTGTCGATCGATCAGCAAACAGAAGGAGTTGGTTGACTCTCGTGATGCCATGATGGCCCAGTAGGGCGTGGACGATCGCTTCAACTGATGAGTAGTTTTGAGACTCCTTCCAGCGTGTGCTGCCTGCTTGCTGGATGCTTTTGAGCAGTGTCATGTGGCCATAAGCCTTTGAATATGTCAATGCCTAAATGCATTTCTTATTGTTCTATCTTGAGACATCTGTGTTTTAGGTCATGATGCTCTGGCATTGTATTCAGCACATTCTGTAGCGCTTTGCGTTTTGAAGCACAGCAACTCAATGCTATTGATCTTCGATCGCCTGGCATGGATACCAGATATGACAGTACAGCAATTTGCAAAGCAAAAGCTGTCTTTGGTGTCAGCTGCAAGAGAGTGGGTTACATGACAAGCCTTGAGGCTACAGTGAACTACGGACTATAGCCATCTAGCATGAGCAAGCCGTGAGTCTACAATGATATGTTCCAGCTGACATGACAAGCCCTTGGGCTACAATTGAGTATAACATGGGTAGTTGCTACGCTCTTGATTACAACATTTTGCTGAATGATGCATGTATGGCTTAAAGGGTGTTAGCTTTTAGCTGCTGGCTGGTGGCTTTTACATGTTTAGCGTTTAGCTGTTGGCTGGCGGCTTTTTACCTGTAGCTTTCCAGTGCTGGCAACAATGCCATTGGAACACAGAGCATCATGACCCTCAAGGGAAAGCAGCTTTGGAAGACTCCTTGCCTTGCTGAAGGCCCTTGCAGCAAAGCTGGAGGTGATTGAGTTTGATGCAGAAAAGGCACGTGCTGTTTGCATTGCCCCCCTTCTCAACCAAGGCTGGGTGCGATTTTTGCTATGGTCCTGGCTCCTATCACTCCTAACTGACAGTGTTGGTGAAGAAGCTGCGGGAGCTAGGGGTCCTCTCCATGTCTCTTCGTAGCTACTCACAACTGCCGGATCCAGAAGTGCCTTTTCAGATAGCTCAAGATGTCAAACTTTCACTCACCAGTTCTGAGCCTTGTAGAGGATTGCCTGTGATCATCAATCATCCAGGTTCACCTGATGGGCTTCCACAGCCTATCAAGGACAAAGCATTTCAGTCAGGCCCCCATGGGAAACCTCCCAGACCAGCTCAGCCACGTTTTGAAACAAATTCTCTTTAGGAATGCGCACAAGGCCATCAGCAAGAACACCAGCAGGCAGCCAGAACCTTCAGGTGGACATTCAGGCACTTCAGCTGGTCCTTCAGCTGCAGCTGGAGGTGATTTGCAACAGTTCGCAGTGCAAACACTCAACATGTGCATGGGTAGGTTCATGGAGCAAAGTGCCCAAGGCAACACCACTGGACAAATCACCATATCACCCCCGGCGCAAAGCATTGCAGCACCTGCTGCAGAAACTGAGGCACCCACAAAGGTTGAACAGCAAGCAGCACAAGCGCGGGGCTGCCACTGACCGATGTCATTGACATAGAGACACAGGAGCCACAAGCCAAGGAGATCAATGAAGAGACTTCTGCAGCAGAGGCTATTGAGCAACAAACATTTGAAGCACTGAAGGCCAGGAAGGCAGAGGCAAAGGCCAAGGCCAAAGCAAGGGCCAAGGCTAAGTGCAGGTCCAAGGCACGTCATTTGTGGAGTTCATTAGAAACTGCATTTCATGGCGCCTGTCTACGCTCCTGCCGGCGTGGAGGCATGGTGGGTGTCTTCCTGAAATTTTGATTAGATGAACTTCTCGCAGAGCCTTGAACTTCTTGTGCCAACATTCACTGCCTCAATCATGGGGCTTTACCTTTGCATCCGACACAGGTGTGGCCGGTATGGCAACAAGAGCTGCCGGCCAACGTGAGCAGGGCTCTGACACTCCCTGCTATTGGGATCTTGTTCACTTGGGGGCCCGCCCCCGCGATTTCATCAAACAATCGCGGGCGGGCCGGTCAGCGAACCGAGGAAGGTTTGGACAGGCTGTACATGAGTGGCAAGATCAAAGCTGTGGCTTGGCCGAATTGTTTTTTGCCAACACAGAACACCAATTGGGGCTTTACCTTCGCATCCAAGACAGGTGTGGCCAAAATGGCAGCAAGAGTTGTCGCCTCGCACTTGCCGCTATTTGCGGCACTCACTCAGTGTCACTTGGCAGCGACCGGGTGGCCTACGGATAGGTTGTGGGTCGGTGAGGAGCGCTCAGCACAACGGGGGGGGTCGGAGTGGGAGGCATGGATTTGACCTCGGCTTTTGCTTGTCTCCTCCAACGCAATCTGGCCAGAACCGTAAGAGCTCCAATTTGTGAACCCAAGGATTAGCAGCAGTGATGTGGTTGTGAACCGGCGGCCGCTCCTCGTGTGCACGCCTGAGAATATGGCACAAACGGTCTGAATGCTGGTCTCCATTGACTCATAGGTTTGAATCAAGACATGAGTTCCTCAGTGCGAGGAACATGATGGCGACCACCACTGCCAATTCACCATACGTGATCCGAGCACAGACAGGAGAGCCGTCTGAGCGAAGAAGTGCGAGCTCAATCAAACAGCCACCACAGGCGCAGTCGCTCAACATTCACTCTTACAGTTCACAGCTAAGTCCTGCAGAAACCAAAACCTCCCCTCGTCTTCACCACCAAAACCATCGCACCAGCAATGGCGCTAAGGTCACAACCTCTTTCCCTCTTTCCGCTCAAACACCTACCGCTCACCCCACTGCTCTGGCTCTTCAGCTCCCACAGCCGCCGCCTCTGCACAGCTGAGCGCCGCGTTGAGCGCCTCCAAGCCCAAGGTCATCGCCTCCGTCGAGCAGTCGGCGCAGCTCTCCGCCGTGAACTTCCTGCAGGGCGTGGCCGGCCACGGGCGCGCGCGGCGTCACGTCACGTCACGTCACGGGTGGTACGTGGCACGGTCAGCTGGGCGGGATGAAGCGCGAAGAAACACACGTGCCCCGAGGGTGAAGGTGGTGGTGCGGGTGGCGGGTGGCGAACGAACGTTCAAAACGGCAACGTCTTCAACTCTTCAACCGCCTGTTGATTTTTGTTTTGGTTTGGCGGGGCATCCAAAGGCTGTGCCGTTATCGCCGGGCGTGGGGTCGAAACATTTCACTTCTTGTGGGTATGGTCAAAACGAACGATGGGTCTACACGGCAAACACGAAGATGTAGTGGCTTTTTCGACGTATGGTATGGGGTACGTATCGAAGTGGGTTCGTCTTTCAACCAAACATAAAAGCAAAAGAACCCAAAAAAAAGCAAAAGTACCCACAATAGAACTCTAAGGTTCTGCAGGAAAACTCTGAGGTTTTCGATCAGTAGGGTTCCAATTGCCGTGGGTGAACGAAGCTTTTTGTCGACCCAAAAAACAGGCCTTTCCAAGGGTGGTTAGGGACCTGCAAAGAATGACCAATCACCTCATTGAAGCCAGCTTGGGATTACACAATCTACCTAAAGCCTTTAAAGACCGGCTCTTGATGTCCCAAACCGATCGATTCCAAGCGCCTAAAAGCCTGAACCATCGGGGATTTGGGGGGACCTTCACATGACCACACCAAGCTCCCAAGCAACTTCTCCTTCTTCCTCCTCCTCTGCCCCCCACTGGCGGCCAACCGTACTCCACGGGCCTGGCGGCCAACCGGCACTGTGCAGCCACGTCCATAGTGGCATAGCCCACGACCCGCACGGCCTTGACCACCGTGAGGGTCAGGACCTGAACGTTCGCACGGTCAGCGCACGATTCGAGGAGCACCGTCGTGGGTGCTGCGGTGAAGCCACCACCTTCCAAAAGCACCCCTACCAACACGGGCAACACCCCGTAGAACAGCTAAAGGGGCTTTTTTTCTAGACACCCCTTGGAGGGTCCTGGTATACATCCTATCCCTATAGGAGTCCAGTCATGACTCATTTTACCCTCATAGTAGTGGTGGATTTTATCCTAGCAGGTGGAGTAAAATGAGTCACTAGAAGTTCTGGGATATACAAAGAAACCGTGGGGATGACTTAGTTGATGTTCTTTTGGAAAGTTGCTCTTTCCCAGACTTGCCACATCTCTCCACATCTCTTGGACCTCCAGCATAGAGTGGATTGAGAGTAGATAGCACCAATATCCAAGGTCGGTGGTTTACAGTATATGGACCCCCCATCTGTCTAGGACCTAGGACCTCATGGGGGTGTGCCATGGATCTCCAACATCGCCCCACTCTGAGCCTGAGCCTCCCCACAATGGCGCTGTGTGCGATGGACTTCGTCAGCGGCAGCGCGTCGCGGTGCGTGTCGCGGCCGCTGCGCGCGGTCTCCGCCGCTTCGGCGGCCTGGTGGGCGAAGTCCGCCGCGGTCTTGGCCTCGGTATGGCCAGGCCAGGCATCTGGGAATGCAAACCCAAGGCAAAGGAGCAATCCAAAGATCCACTTGTATGGTAAGTGTCGTTCAGTAAGCCTGTGGGTTCTGAAAAACACATCACTCTCTGCTTTTGGAAAGGGTGATCCACCTTTCAAGGGCCCACATCAACCCCCATTCTCGTCCCACCTCACCGAACCTCCGCCTGCTCCGCCTGCCGACCCGGTCGACACTCATGTCGAGCGGCGTAGCGCGAGGCTTCCTCGGCCGCCTTGGAGGACTTGGCCAACAGCTGCGCGTCGGTGGCGTCCTGCCGACGTGCGGCCGGTGCGGCGAGGAAACTGCAGGAGAGGGAACCCGCAAGGGGTATTGGTTGTGGTGGAGCGAATCCAAGAAGCCGCAAATGGGTTGAACAAAAAACAGCAGAAGAAAAAACAGGTGAACAATTGTGAACACGTAGATGGCTTGGATCATTCTGACCGAAGATGTCAGATGTGAAGTCTCGGTGGGTTCATCTGCCTTGGGCGGGGCCACAGGGCCAACCAAAGTGCCAACCGCGGGTGAGGCGTGTGGCTGTTTTGAGAGCCGTGGGTGTACATGTCGCCCTGAAAAACACCTTTGGAGCCGCAGTTGTCTCACTCTGAAAAGGAGGTGTGTGACGAATTTATTACACAAAGCCGACTTTGTAATGGTTCTTTGGAATTGGGGGTAAGAGCATGTGGCGCACCTAGAACCCTCAGCGTGAAGGTCTAAAAAAGCCTGTGATGACCGTCCAAACACCACGCATGAGGGTCCACAAACGGACATTTGACGAAGACCGTTCCAGAACGGTCCAGAAGTTCACGGAAGATGGTCCTTGCCTGGTCACCTTGCTCACCTCGTTTGGTAGAATTGCCCTGTGGCGTTGATACACACGTGAATCAAACAACGCCTGAGGGGCGATCTTGGTATTCTGACCAGGCACACACTTGCGCGCCACCAGGTCCCCATCGAAGACACGTCCCCACGTCGACAGGTTGGGATTACGGAAGAAGATTGCTAAAGGACGGTGGCGCGCTTGAGTTGGTGTTCATGGTTGCAGGATCCCCTTTTGAAATTCACCCAGTCACTGGGGTATACCCATTCTATAGTATAAACGGTCTCTCGTAGGGACTTGCTACAAAGAGGACTGCCATGTTCAAAGGACGATTCTCTGGTTCAGAGCACCTGCGCTTCAGGGGCTAGAGTCTACGCACAAACCGAATTTGCACCACGCAGGCCCATATATATATATAGATATGTATTAATATAGACATACATGCACAAACATTTATATAAGTGATACTTAAATGATGTATATAGACTTTAGATAGGTGGGAGACCATTGACTAAAAGCTGGTCCACTTAGCTACATATCCACTTATATCCACTTGGTGCGTTTGTATCGTAGTAACCCACCTCAAAAGCCCAACCGCTCGAAACTTGAAATTGGAGGGTCCCCTCCTCTTCTCCGCGCTCGTCCTTCTTTGCATCCGCCTCGGAAAAAAACTGTGGAAGATTGTGAAGGGAAAAGTGACGGACCTCAAGAAGAGATCGATTGTCCCACAATCCTCAGAAGATCTAAGGAGGTTCTGTGGTTGTAGCTAGAAGCCCGGGTATGTTGCTGGGTATGGTCTAAAGGATGTACTCCATCTACACGCCACCAAGTGCACAGGAAGTCTGCTAAATCCACAAAAAAAGGTCCCTGTTCATGGTCTCAGTTGGGTTCATCAGGCATTGATTACTTACTTTTCCAGCTGTGTTCATGATTGTTCACGCGAGGGAGGCCGGAGGCTGCAAGCCAATGGCATTTCAGTTGCAGGGCCAAAAGCACCTCCAGGGCCAATTCTTGAAACCACCTTATGACTTGCATTACCACATTTGCGTGGAAGGTGCCAACCTGTAGTGTAACCTACAGTTGAAGGGATCTTCAAACAGGAACATCTAGGAACCCACGAAGGAACTGCAGGCCTCCGATTCTACGCACCGTAGGTCAGAGTCACCCTCCCATTCCATTGAGAGGTTCCAAAAAGCCAAGCTGGCTGAGCGGACGAGCTTGCGACAGCGGAGAAGCCCATCAACGAGGCTGAGCCGGCTTTGTTCGAAAGATTTCGAAAGGACACTTGGTTGGCGGGTAGTTTGTTGGTCACATGGGATCCTGCAGAAGGAACCCATCCCGCACAAGTTGAGATAGAAAATGCTGGAAGAAATTCACAGCACTGGTATGAAGATGACACAAAGTTTGTTGGCTTACTGCTACAGGAGTTGTATGGAGTTCTCACCGTTCCATAGCCACACCCCCACCCTTCTGCCAGCACTGAACGCGCCCTGTTTCGCTCCGCCTCGTCCGACGCTGCTTCGCCATCGGCGGAGGCCGCGTCGTCCGGAGAGGCCTCCGCGTCCTGGTCGGTCGATGCATTCAGAAAAGCAGAAGCTTTCCACCGTAACTTTACATGCAAAGCTTACACCATCTTACTACATGAGAGCCTGAGAACATGAGGCTCTCGTGAGGGGCAGCAGCTTTGAAGTACTAAGTTACTATAGTATAGGCGTTTATGGGTTTCCGGTATTTTTTCTTTCACCCACCGTCATATCTCACACAGGTCGACCTCAGCTGTTCAACCGCTCCTCCTCCGGAGCTTTCGGCTTCGGATCCACCGGTTCGACCTCCTCGTCGCTCGAGGGCATGGGACCTCCACCTCGAGCGGTGCGGAGCGGTGCGGAGCTGCGCTGCCAACGGCGAAGGAGCGGTGTGTTCTCCCGGTGGTGCAAACAGGGGTGACACCTGGAAGCAGCCGGGCAACGGTGCTGAGATTGTGTGTTCTCTTTTCTTTTGGGGGTGGTGGGATGGTTTTGGGGGATTATAGTGATGATTTGTGTGTTGTCACTGTGGGGCTTAGGAAGAGGTTTGGTGGAGATGAGCGGATCTGATGCTAAAGTGAACATCATTCAACAAAAATAGATCATCTACCAAAACTTGATCGCTCAGGCAGGCAATATATTTCAAGCCTCCCGCATCATCTCTCGAATGGCTTGTGCACGCAACTGTAGGAAACCCTTCTCCGTACGATCCAAAAGCTCCCTCCATCCTCCCATACCCCCAAAAAACCAGCCAAAAAAAACCGAACATATTGGCCCTCAGCAGATCAACTCGCTTTGCTCGGCCGTTGCCCCGAAGTCCTCACCACTGAACTGCCCATCCACTCCGCGCCTCCACGCGTCGTCACGTCCGACGACGCGACGGCACCTGACTTCGCCAGGTTCGCGGAGCCTCGGCACGGCAAACGGACGGCACGTGGCAACGGCACGGGGCATGTGTTGACGGGACCGGAAGGTTCAGGTGGTGAAACACATGGGTGGCTATGATCATACCTGATGCATCATGCTTCCAAAGTATACGAAATAGGATGAAATAGGATGCCACAGTCTTCAGGAGGGGGGGCTGCAAAGTGCCACACCTCCAGTTCCCACACGCCCACGGTCTTCTACACGGTCGATGCCCACCGTGGATGCCACACCGTGCATCGCTGGCTTCTTGAGGTGGACGAGCTCCCCAACGCTTTGACGACCCGACGAGCGAGTCGACGACCAGCACCCGACGATAAACAGGTCTCCGGACATGGTAGCTTTTGGATACTTAATAACCTTCACCAACCAGACCCAAGAAATTCACAGGGTCTGCTTTCAAAACCAGGGTTTGCCCCCCAAACCCGGGGTTTTGAACAAGAAAGAGGCTGGACCAGTGAGACCAGTGATTATGAATCCACACCAAAAACACTAACATTTCAGAGAGATACTAGAGGGTTCAACCCATGTTTTTTTTCACAGGTTGTCACGGGTAAATCACGGGTCCATCGCGGTTTCGTCACGGGTTTGGCCAAAGACGGAAAGCTAAAACCTAGGGTTTCTGGACTCAAACCCAGGGTTTCGATTGGGAAAGCATGGGTTGTCACGGGTGAATCACGTGTCCATCACGGGCTCGGTCTTCTAGAAAAGATTGACCCTGCTTTTTCCAGCTATTTTGAGAATAGTTCGATCAAAACTCTTGGATATACTGAGAAGAACCGCTTTTCTATGCTTTTCTTGGGAAACCCGGGGTTTATAATGGAAACCCGGGGTTTGGAGCATGGAAGTAGTGAAACACGAGGTTTGCAAGCAAACCCGACAAAAAGGTAAGGGGTTTGTTGTTCAGGGAAGATCTTACAAGTGGTGACCTGGCAGGTCTTGGGTGCGTCTTGCATGGACCCGACACGACATGCATGTCCGAGGTGTCGCATCTCTCAACCCGATATCGTATCTCCGTCTCCAACATGTCGCCGTCTCATTCTCCTGTTGGGGGTTGTTTTACATGCAGGTCGGTTCTGCAAGGAAACTAGTTTGGCGTGCGTGGTTCTGTAAACACGTGCTCAGTCCGGCGCTACGGCGCTGCTCCATGATCTTCTCCTTGGGCAGGCCGTCCAATGGTGGAAGCAACACTCAAGACATAGCCAGAGAGAAACAGTTCAGAGGGGGGAGGCCTGGTGCTAATACGAATGGTGCTGAAATGGAAAAGTTTAGGACTGTATAACACATCCACATGTCTACTGGAAACTATTTCTATCTATGGGGGCTGCTGCTACCTATAAAATGCTATAGTTGTTCCACAAGTGACGGTTTGGGCATGGCTCATGGTGCCAGGTTTGTCCAGTCCGTTTTTCTTGTCTGACGAGCTGGTTCAATGAGACCTTCTCCGATCAAAACATCACTGCTATAGGCAAGCGTGGCCCAGCACGCCAAGCTGCGATGCCCATCCCCCACGAACCCTCGCGGTCACGAACCCCAGTCACTCCCCACACCAGAAATCCCGCTCGTTGGTCCCCAGCTGAGCGGCATAAGCCTCGTGGAGCTCTTGGAATTCGGCCTTATCGCCACCTGCGAAGAGACGGAGACGGAGACGGATCAGCTGAGGTTGGCGATCAGGCCCTCTGCAAACCCATCCGCTAGAGGTCAAGGATCTCATTTTACAGGTTTGGGTCACACAAGGTCTGTTGTTCAATGAAGCCAAGGAAGAGTTTTGTTGCTTGCTTCAGTGAACCATGTTTCTGGCCAAATCCCGGAAGCAGCATGAATGAAGCAGCCTTATCAACTTGTGGGGGCCTGAACACGTCACGATAAACCCATCCCTTCAAGTCAAGGAATGGGATCTTTCTTCATCCGATTTTGCTCTGCGACCATTTGGTGACCATCTGGGTCTCACTGTGGTCGAGAAGGACGCAGCTGTGGTGGGAGCTTTTGGGAATGTTTGAACTGGACCCGAAGCAACTGCTACATTCTTGTTACTTCGGTCAAACACCCTATAGTTGTTGGATGCCAAAATCCTAGCGGACCTAGCGAACTGGTTGGGTCCTTTCCTCTCTGAGCAGAGCCTATTTGGGCTCAACCAAAACGTTGCAGCCACCGCCCCCCGGCCTTTATCTGGATGGCATTGCATGGCCACCAGTCGATAGGCCTTTTTGATTTCCTGAGATGTTGGAAGCCGTGCAAGGGTGGAAGTCATGTGTAAGGCATAGAATGGCCATGGCTTCGAGCACAAGGTGGGCTTGCTGTGTGGTATGTTACCTCCTGCCAACAGGTGATCGCGAGTGCCATCTTGAGGGGATGCAAACCATAAACACTACATCTCCAATCCAACACTCTCAAATGATTCAATATAAGTATGATCTCTGGAGACACCCGAGCCACCAATACTTTCTCTTCCTTCACCACCATCACTTGACAGACTTGCTCCATCTGCGCCTGGAGATCTCCTGAGCCCATCTCCGGAGCTTCCCGTTTTGGGCTTCGCCCCACCCACACCGCCGTCCGAGCGGCGGCGTCGGAGGCGTCAGGGGCGACGCCCAGGATGGAGTAGGCGGAGTTCTCGTGGAGCCGGGCGATCTCCGCCACGATCTCGCTCTTGAAGCACATCTGTCCTTTGAGGGCGACCCACCGGTGAGGGCGAGGGGCGTGGGGACATCGGGGACCTTGATTGGACGAGGGCGAGGGGGGGGGGTCGCATTGGGGACTGGGGACTGGCTTCGAGAGTGAGCTGCTGTACGGTTTTCTTTTCGATTTTCATGGGTCTGTTCAGGTGGAGTACCTCTTCCAGTCTTTTTTTTTTTTCTCGCTTCTTTTGCTCCAGCACTCTCAATGCCACGGCCTCTTGGCCAAAAGTGGCTGCCGGCAAGGCTCGCTTCGCCTTGGACCAGCTGGAAAACAATCCGCCACCTCCACATCCTCTTAACTGTCCGAGCTCGGGCCAAAGGTCAACTTCATCTGGCCGGACTTGCTAGTGCATCCTTTGGTCAACCAAGACTGAACTCTGCCATCCTGCTCCTTCGATATGCGCCGGCATTTCTGGCATTCAAGCCACTGGCCTCGCCTCATGACCACATGAGAGTGGTGAACACGGACTCTGAGGACCGTTTCATCATCTTCCAGCCGCCCCTGCCGACAGTCGGTTCTAGTCAGCTGCTCCAAGGCGGCCTTGCTACTTCTAAGGGGAATCCTGGCCCAGCACCGAATGCGCCCAAAGTTGTTGGTCCGGATCTCCCATTTGTGGCCTGGCTGCTCATCTAACTTGCCCTCCGTGTCCTGCACCAATTCAGACATGGATTACTTCAAAGTCTTTGTGACGGATCCAGGGCAAGGTGTTGCCTGTTTCTGGCTAATTTCACTGTGAGTGCTGCAGGCTTTGATTCTTTTGCCACAGTATTCACACACAACACCAGATCGTTGATGCTGCCATTTGTGCTGCCCTTCAACAGGGGTTTGCTGCACAAGCTGGTTGAAAAGTTCAACACGCCCCTTGGGTTTGTTCGGTCGAGCTTCAGGAACAGGCTCCACCTTTTCAAGCTTGCCATGCATGAAGTGCTCTTTGTCGCCCAAAATCGCACTGATCCTGCGGGCAGCTACTTCATAAATCGCCTGGTGCTTCCGGTCCGCTTCCTTGAGCTCATTGACCCAGGCATTGGGCGCTTCTTTAGCAGCTCGGGATTTTGCCGCAAGCTTTGCCTCCACATACTGCAGCCATGCCTTGGTGTCCTGCTCCGCCCTTCTCATCATCTGGATGGGAACGTGCAGCAATTGAAGTCGCGGCCACTCCTCCGCCGGTAAATTGTGCCAGAGATCAGGTGCCACTTTGCTGTCACCCCCCCTTTTGCAGCGCTGCCCACCCAGCTCGGTTGGGAATGTTCAATTGGTGACGACCCAAGACAGCTTGAAGTAAGAGCCAGCAGCCAAAGACCCAACTGCGAGCTTCCGTCGCCTGTCCCGGTGCCAATGCAGTGCATGTGCCCTCAATTTGCCACGAGCCCTCATGCCAAGTCCCAACTGTTAGGGCCACCGCAAACTTCTTGATACGAATATCTTGGCAAGTTGCATGCACACCAATGGCCAATTTGTGGCCAGGACTAAGCCGGACCGGCCAACCACGAGCAAGGATCCCAGTGACCTCACACGACTCAGGACCTTCAACAGGCAGAAACGTGGGGGCTTCAATGAGTCCACGTGCCCACAGCATGGTGTCCTCATTTGCTTGAATGCTGCATTGCCACTCCTGTGGAAGTTCTTCCTCATGGTAGCTGCATTGCCAGACCAGATGTTTCATGGTGACAGGGATCTGGCATAAAGGGCACAGCACTCTTTCCCCAGAATCATGGGTGCGCAGCGTACCTTGTGTCCAAGCATCCACCGCAGCTCGAGCTGGTCCCTTGAGCCTTTTCATGACCTTGTGGTACACAGTCCAATCCGGCCTTCTCATCAACGGAAAACAGTGTTCCAACTCTTGGATGCGGCGGGCCCTCTGATGCTTTTGCTCAATGTGCAATTGCCGCTGCAGATAGGGCCAGGGGAAATCCAAACTCAGTTGATTTGCAGGCATCAGCCCCGTCGGCGGCCGGATCCAGTCATCCATCACTGAGGCATCCCAGCCCATGTCCTTGAGGTACACCTGCAAAGCAGCCATTGGACCCGCAACCACTATCCAAGGGTGAGCCACTGCTTGCAACCGCCTCCACGAGACCCTCCAGGCCGACATAAGTTCCCCTCTTTGATGGGGTGGCCAAGCACGGACAAGCTGGTGCATGGCTTTGAGCTGGCGTTCCACTGCCGTGTCTTGGGGATCCTGCAGATGTCCATGTTGATCAAACACAATGTCAACACTTCCTTTCTTCTGCAAACCACCATGCCGAGCCAGCTGCTGCCGCAAGGTCCTCATTCGCTGCGGTGCAACGCCTTGTGCTTCAACACCAAAACTGACAGCTGAATGGATTGATGTCTTCCACACTCTGATGCGGATGGGCCGCGACCGAAGCTTCAGATGAATCAGCTTTGCCTGACGACCTCTTCCTTTCAACATTCGCTGTTGTTGGCTGCCAATGCGGCGTCTGCGACCTCCACTAGAATCCAGGCCAAGATCCTTCAAAAGATCATGGGCCTTCGGCTGCTCATCTGTTCGATACAGGTTGACTGCTCTCTTGGCTTCTGCGGTTGATGTCAGGAATCCAGTCTTCGTGGCAGAAAGCTGTAACCCAATGTCCTCAAGGCCCCGCCGGATGTCATCATAGGCTGCTAGGGCTTCCTTGCAGACAGAATGAGCCTCATCCCCAACAAAGTCCATGGAAATGTCATCCACCCAAACATCAGCTGAGGCTTTGGGATACTTGGCCTGAAATTCCTTGAGGACCGGAGCCAGTACCAACTTGGCAACTAATGGGGCTGCCGGGCATCCGGCCAACATGCCCTTCCGGCAATGGACCGCCGAGGACGTAATGCCTTCAGCTTGAAGCAGGCGTGGACCGCCATACACTTCATAGATCATGTTCATCACAGCAGGTGGGAAATCCAACGGTTCCCAAAGGTGCAAGAGGTGAGCCAAGTCAACCGAGTCGTAAAAGCACTGCAAGTCAATGAGCAGCGAAATGACATGACGGCCAGCAGTGCGCCCAACCTCACACTTGAGCAGTCTCATCAGAGCAACCTGAAGTACCTGCGTGCCAGGCAGGCTTCTCTCCCAAGGCAATCGTTGGCCAATGCTGGTTTGCCAGGATCTCAACTTATCCCACCTGAGCCGGCACCAAGTGCGGTAAAGGACACTCGTCAATGAAATAGGCCTTTCGATGTCAGCCTTTTTGGGAAGGAGCAGTACCAATGTGGTGCAAACTTGATCAGGCAATCTGCCTGAGAGCTCCCACTTTCTCATCATGTGGCACATTTCAATCACCCCTTCAATGGGTAAATTCTTGAGCATGGCATAGCTTATTCCGTCCGGGCCACAGGCCTTTTGAGGAAGCTTCTGCAACTTCCTCATCACAGCATGGGGATCAAGGTCTTCCCAACTGCGAGCCTGCACAATGCCCTCCCAACGTAGTCGCTCCCTTTCAGCACTCTGCTGTGGCCCATCAATGACCTGCCACTTGCTGTACCATTGTTGTTCTCGGAGGGTTTGCCGCTGCTGAACCGGGACATTGCGAAAGGGCCGGACATGAACATTGTCCGGAGCTTTGAGACACCTATAGATCCCACTGTGGCCTCGCAGCTGAGCTTGGGCCAGCCATTGTTGGAAATCACTGGATTGCTGCTCAATGGCCAGCTTCTTGGCAAACTCTTTATTGCATTCAGCGCCTTTGATCAAGAGAGTGATGGGCGTAGGGTCTCCTTCAATCAAAGCATCAATGCCAACTTTGAAATCCTCCAGCCCATGAACCTCCTGCCATCTGACATCCAGGTCAGTCCGCTTGGCCCGAAGATGATCAAGCATGCCAACTCCAACGGACATCTTGGTGGCAATGTGTTGCAGGAGAGAGCTGAACTGTCCCCAATAGGCAAGGTCCCCTTTCTTCCACGGCGTCAATGGCTTCGACACTGGAAGCGGCTTGTTCTCCAAGGCAAGATACCATCCTCTGCCCATCTTGGGCTCATTTAGCCGCTGAAGAACAAACTGCTCAGCTTGATGACACCACTCTGCATACTGGATCTCTTTTGGCCCAATCGGCCGACCTAGCCAAAACGGCTTTGGAGCAGGTTCGAAGTCCTCCCACGCTCTGTCCTGATCATCAAGCTTGGGCACGGAGGCGTACTGTGTCAGCTGAGGGAGCAGCAGCCTCGGGGCATCCTTGTCCACCCTGACAACCAAACCTGCGTGCGGTTTCCACGGCACATCCCACGTGGCCTTGATCTCAAGGAATGGGGCCACAGATCGACATGCCAGCAGATAGTCAATCTCTGCACCATTGACCATTGTGGGCTGCCCACTTGATACAACTTCTGCCCTCAGGACATTCAGCAAATTGTGTCCATCCCACTGTTCTGGCGGCACCTGATAATCCCCAATGGCAACCCAAGGAATGGCCAATTGTTGGATGAAAGCTGCAAGCTCCCCCAAGATGACAGAGTTGGCTCTGGAGTTGAGGTCTTCCCCACACTTGAGGTAGACACTGATGAGAACTAACTCCCACTGCTGTCTTTGTAGCACATTGGCCAGGAAGCCATTGCCTTCATGGTCAAAGGAATGCAGCCGATAACCTGCTTGTCCTTCCCTCATGCAGAAAAGATGTCCACCGCTGTTTCCGCCCCGACCAGTCTCATAGGCTGCCATGAAGGTGGGCTGCCATCTATGGCGGCACAAATCATTGTGCGCTGCTTCAAGCTTGGTGGCATGCACATGAGTCTCAACCATCATCACGACGGAATGGTCCTGCTGAATGAGCCATTCCTTGACATCTTTTGTCCATTGGGTGATGTTGGCATACATGATCTGAATCTCTTGATTTGGATGACGGGCTCTCTTCTGTGGCGGCTCAAAGTGCCCAATTGCCGTGGACCAGAAGGTGTTTTGCTCAGCCCGGCAGGCCCATACCATGACAGCACCTCTCTTGATGTATTCCGGCACTTCTTTTTGAACTTCAGGGCATTTCCCATCATCTGCAACCCA